GGGGGGGGGAAGGACAGGCTGTACTTACTCTTACTCAGCACTAGAGCCCTAAGAAATTTATTTCTACACATACATGCTCATTTGTGGGAAAAGGAAAACAAATATGGTTCATCTACAGTACTATCTTCAAGTAGTAACCAAGTCATCATTTGGGGTTGTGATATATTTCCTGCCTTCTATGTTTAATTTGAAAGCTGAGAAAATATAATTTTGGATCTCCTTTTTAAATTATATTTTTGATATTCAGAATTGGATGTGGTGGGCCCAGGATTTCATATCGTAAGTGGGAGAGGTTGAGGTGGAAAGCTCTTGAGAGGGTCCTTGTCCTTTTCCCAAATGGCTCACTCTGTTCCTTTCAGACTCAGAGTAGAGTGGCCTTTTGCTCAGACAACCGAGGGAAGGAAGGTCATGTTGGAGTTTTAACGCAATTCTGTCACGGGAAAATAAAATGGTCCTCGCAGCTCAGCAGCCTGGCTTGGAGAAGGAATCGCAGGCCTCTGTTTGACTTCATGAACGTTTAACTTTTCCACTCTGAAAGTACAGAGTCTCTTTCTTTATGATGAGTTAAAGTCAATTACATTTAATTTGAGAAGTTTCTGTGAAGTTTATAATAAATACCCTGTCAGATAAATAGGGACATGCTGGTGGCCCTGGGGACTTCCCTGAATGACCTCTGTTGAGATGGTGATCTCTTTACAAATCCTAGTGACAGGTAGCTCTTGACCCTGAAGCACACAGCCCTGCATGCCTATCCTGGGATGTTAAGTCCAAAAGCCCTAAGAATCCATCAGCCTCCGTCTCTGGACCGAGGACCTATATCACCTAGGAAGGAGCCTGGGATGAGTCAAGAATTGTGGGTTCTTGTCCTGCTATGTGACTTCTTGCGGACCCCGGAGTTTTTCTGGAATTCTCCCTACTATGTAAAATAGGAGTCACAATGTCATCTGTGGTGGCCCTAAGAATGTGCCCCTCAGGCCTCCAATTACAAAAAAAAACTGACCAAGGGCCACAAATGTGGCACTCTGAAATCCATCACCATGGTTTTGCTCAGACTAGACTTCCCTCAAGCTCCTTCTAGCCAGTTCCTGAGTTTGGCGGTGAAATTAAGGCAGGCCCATTTCAGGGACACACAGGCCTCTTCTGATTGGCTTCCTTGCCTCAAGAACTCCGATGGCCTTGCCGATGAACCTTCCTTAGAAGGTTTAGTGTTTGCCCTCATAAAATCCTTGCACTTCTCATCCCATCTTCGTGTTTATTTCTCAGAGGACCTGACTACCCACCTCTCAGAGGTGCCAAGAGACACTCAAAAGCAAGAAAGTTTTAAACACACATAAAGGCCTCTTACAAATCTTTCTCGACTTGCCCTTGGCAAAATATTTGTAATGCCTTTCATCTGAAGAAAAAAATGTTTGCTGACTAGGCTAGGGGATGCACAGCTGTCCCCTCCTTGTGGCAGGCACTCCTGTGAACTTGGGCCAGACCCTGAAGAAACCCGTCACTTTACACCCTGGATCTGTTCTTCACGGCAGTGGGGAGCAGGAAATGGCAAGAATTAGGAAATGAACTCCTAGCCCTGCTGCTCCCTCTTTGCACAAGATCATTGCTATGGTCTGAATGTGTCCACCAACAATTCATGTTAAAAGCCTAATGCCCAAGGTGATGGTATTAGGAAGTGGGGACTTTGGGAGGTGATTAGATTATGAGGTCATGAGAGTGGTGCTCTCGTGAATTGGATTAGTGCCCTTATAAATGAGGCCCTAGAGAACCAGCTTGCCCCTCCTTGCTGTGTAGGATACCACAAAGTCTGGGACCCTGAAGAGGGTTCTCACCCAACCATGTTGGCAACCTGATCTCAGACTTCCAGCCTCCAGAACTGTGAGAAATAAATTTCTCTTGTTTATAAGCCAGTCTGGAGTATTTTGTTATAGCAGCCTGAACGACTAAGACAGTCCTCTCGGTTCTTCCTCCTCTTTGAGCTTCAGTTTCTTCACATATATGATGAGGATTGAACTAGACCTGTGGTTTTCAAATGAGGTTCCTGGGAAATTTGGCAGAGGTGCCTCAGGGCTGAGGAGGTTCCTGGTTTATCTAGGGCAACTGCTTTAGCTTGTTTAATATTTGGCTCTAGCATAAGATGCATGGACAAGGATTTCTCCACCAAATAAAGTTAAAGCACACAAAGAGAAATGCCCAACTTAGGCAGCAGGTAATGCAGGGCCAACATCTACCCTGCTGGAGTGCTGGCAGTGCTTAGAGAAGGAGGGAAGGAGCAGAAGGAGGCTTAGATACTGGAAGATTCCATCAGGCACAGGAGCAGGGGTGACCTCATATAGCTGGAGGAGTCACAGAGAACGGGCATGGAGACAGCAGAGCCTCCAGGGTTTCAAATAACAGACCAAGGAGCTCAGGCCTTCTTCTGTGTGCAGTGGGGAACAAGAAAGAAGCCTTCAGCCCTCACTGAGCAAGCATTTGCTAAGTGCCTGCTGTAGGCCAGGATTTTATAGTACAGTGTCAGGGAAGATGCAGAGGTGTGGCTGACAAGATATTCCATTTTGGAGCAGAAAGCTTCCAGACTAATGCCCCATGACCCCAGGCTGTGTCCTCAGTCACTCAATATTCACTGACGTGGTAGGCAGCCTCAGTTGACCTCAGTGATCTCCTCCTCCTGATATTCATGCCCTTATGTAGTCAAAGGTGGGAGGGCCCACATTAAATAGGTTTGGTTGATCCGTAACCAGTAAGATATTAGAGAAATGAAGATATTAGAATTAAATGATAAATGACAAGATTAGAGAAATGAGAGCGTGACTTTCAGAATTGGGTCAAAAGGACACTGTGGCTTCTTGCTCTCTTGAAGCACTCATTCTGGTGGAAGCCAACCGCCATGTCATAAGGAGCCCTGTGGAGAGGCCCACATGAAAATGAACTGAGATCTCCTGCCAACGGCCATGTGGATGGCCCATCTAGAAAATGGACCCTCCAGCCCCAGTCAAGCCTTCGTATGATTGCAGCCCCGGTCAACATCTTGACTATAATCTCATGACAGACCCTGAGCCAGAACTATTCCACTAAAGCCACTCTCAAATTCCTGATCCACAGCAACTGTGGAATAATTCATATTTGTTGCTTTACGCCATAATGTTTGGGGATAATTTGTTATACCAAATCAATACAACTGATACTAGTAGATGCTATACCCAAGATACTGTGCCCATTGTCATCTGCTCACCTGGACCGCAACAATAGCTCTTCCCTGGTCTCCCCACCCCTTCAATATATCCCCCATATAGGATCCAGACCAAACTGAAGGTCCATTATCAAGACATGTTTATCAAACATGATGGCTCTTGCATGCTCAAAACCTTCCATGGCTCTCCATTTTGTGTTTTGTGTTGTTTCCAGGAAATATTTGCAACCAAGCGGAAACAGTGCAAGTTTCTGGCATCCCTGAGCTCACTTGGGAGCAGAGCAGGAAGCAAGAAAAGTCCTTGTTCGCCCTGGCCCCTGGAATGGCAATCTATCCAAGGGCCCCCTGGGGAGGGCAGGAGGGGCCCCTGGCAGCTGAGGCTGAGACAAAGCAGCAGCTTTGTTCTGAATTCACAATGGCAGGATGCCCAGCACAGACCCAGCTTCCCGGTTTCCTCCAAGGCCAGGCAAGGTGGTGGGAGCTGGGGTATTCATCCTGCTCTGCCCCAGCAGGAGCATGCTCTGGGGGATTTCAGTGTGCGATGGAAGGCTGGGAGTAGGGATAGCATGAGAAGCCTGGGGGAGGAGCTGGGGGTCTGTAGTGAGTCAGTCTACTAACATTTCTTGAGGACCTATTTGGTTCCAGGCACTGTTGCTAAACACTTGGAGCCCCCGGGAGCTACATGGGGTTAGGTTCTACTGCCGTCCCCGCTTCACAAACAGAGGCACAGGAGGTGAAGGTCCTTGCCCAGGGTCACACTGTGTAGACATGCCAGAGCTGACATTCGAACCCAGGTCTGGCCCCTGCTCTTGACTAATAATATTCTCTTCTGCCCACTTCATCAATGTCAGTGCCGGGGAGAGAAGGGTGAGCGGTACAGTTGTCTCAGCCTTCCCAGAGCCCAGCCTGTTGGAGAAAAGGTGATAAATCAGTTCTGAGAATGAAATGTGCCCAGGGCCCTGCCTGGAGAAGTGCAGGGAGTCTCTGGGGTGACCTTTAACTCAGCTTGGCATGAGGCAGAGCAGGGGTGGAGGTGGGGAAGAACTTCCCAAGGAAGGTGACATCTGTTATTCTGAAGAGGCTTAGCAACAAGGATTGGGTACAAATATTGAGACCCTGAGAGGGAAGTGACTTGCCCCAGGCGATAGAACTACTAAGAGACAAAGCCTAGAGGGACAGTGGCCTGTCAGTGGGATTCACCCTCTAAGCCCTTCCTGCTAGTTATCCCTGTGATCCTCTCTCCCAATGACACTGGGAAGCCAGGGGAGACTAGACAGGTCACACTGTGAGAAAGGGGAGTCAAATCCAGGCTTTCTGTCCACTCCTAGGAGGAGTGATAGGGAGGACTTCAACTATGACCTTGGGGAAATCACCTCAATGTTGGATGGTCCTGAGTTTGTGACAAGGCAGCTCCCAGGTCAAGCACAGCTCCAATTCGCCCCTGCCCTGCCTCGCCCCACAACCACCAGGGGCTGGCTTTGATCTGACTAGAGGCTCGCTCTTAAGCCAAGTATTCCACTGGGCCCAGGCAAGGGTGCTGCAGGGAAGCTGCTGCTATGACAGTGAGCCCCCTTGAATGGGGAAGAGTGCTGAGTACCAAGGAGGTTCTGCCCACCCAAAGTTGTCTGTCCTCTGTCCTATGTCACCAAGCCTCAGAATGGATCCTGGAGGTATCCAGGCTACACAAGGCTGGGGCTGAGCCATTGGCATCTCTGAGTCATAAGGAGGGTGGGTGGTGAGTGACTCAGCCTGGGCCCACTTCCCTCTGCATGGCCAGCCTGGGTGGAGACCAGGCCAGGAAACCCCAAACTGTCCTTCCTGGGCCAGGTGACTCCCAGGCGTTTCCTGCCTCCATCCCCAGCCTTGGGCTCATCCCTCATGCAGCCCTGTTTAGCACTGGCTGGCACAGCAGTCTTCCATGAATTCTGGCTGTGTGAAGGAATGAATGATTCCTCCCTGAGTCCCAGGCCTCCTAGATCGCAGCCCAACCTGGCCTAGCTCTCATCCTCACACAAAAGGGGGAGACTTTCTCCGCCTTCCCGATAGTCCTGGAGTCTGAGAGAAAGCGGATGACAAGATGATAGCCCAAGATAGGGACCAAGCCAGCTGGCACCATCTTCCCTGGCCCTGCTCACCGGGCTCCTCATTGGAACCCTCTCCATGGGTATCATCAGCCCCATTTTGTAGATACAAAAACTGAGGCTCACAGAAGGGAGGCTACCTACCTAAGGTACACAGTGAGGAGAGCAGAGCAGGATTAGGCCTGTTTTCCCTAATCCAGGCAGGGTCCTTGTGGTTTTTAACAGGTGGTCTGCAGCAGAGGCAGCTGGGTGGGGAGAGTTAAGTGCACAGGGCCAAGGAAAGGATGTGAGAGAAGTGACGAAGCTGAGTTTGGCCAGTGGGTCAGGGGGGATCTGGGCTAGCTCTAGGGGTTAGGACCGCTGTCCTATGTCCTCAACATGACAGCCCTGCTCCCCTGCAAGGCCCCTGGATCAGCCCAGCAGGTCTTTCCTGCTGAGTGCTCCCTCTTCTGTGAAGCCGTCCTGATTTCTTGCCCTCTGCACCCACAGTCCTGAGCACCCACACCCCTTGTCAAGTCCCTTCCTTCATCGGGCTTCCTTTTTCTGGTTTTCTTTTACAGAGATGCATGTTTGGGTTTTTTCCCCCAGGCAAGGGTTTAGCCATGAAAGGGGGGATATGTAGGGAGAAGACACCAAAGAGAGGGAACAGCATGTGCAAAGGCTCTGGTGAGCGGGCCTGGAATCATGGGGGACTTGAAGGAAGTCAGTGAGGCTGGAAGGTGGAGACCAAGGAGAGGAGAAGTGAGACAGGAGCCTGGTGAGGCTGCAGGAGCCAGATCCTGAGGACCTTGCGGTCTGGGGCAGGAAGTTCTGACTTTGTCCCAATAGCAGTAGAGCCACAGAAGGTGTGTGTTTTAGAAAGATCCCTCTGGGGCTGCATGGATGTTGGAGTGAAGGACCCAGAGCAGAGCAGGGAGGAAGCAGAAGATGGGCTATCATGGCCTGGCCAGTGGAGGGACTTTAGAGAATGGGACTAGGTTGGGGTTTGGACAGGTCACGGTGGGCAAGGGAGATATCTTCATTTTTCTGTGGGTGGTTAGAGGCCAGTGGGCCTATCTCTCTCCCTATATTTCCTTGGCTATAACCCCAAGAAATGACACAGGTGTACAAGCAAAAATAGTTTATTTGAGGATGGAAGATCCAAAATTTGGGGGCCCCGGGATGAGGCCACAGCAGCTGCCAGGAGTTGGCACAGATGACCCCACCTCACCAGGGGAGCCCAGCAGCAAGAAGCCCCTCCCTGGGCCTCCTAGCTGCCTCCCCCATTTCCTGGAGTCAAGATTGTGCAACCACTAAGAATCGTCATCGTCATCAGAACACGGTGAGGTTCTCAAAGTTTGGCCAGCAATTTTCGGCATAGTCGTTGATATTAATAATAATTATTCTGACAAGCACAGTGACTGTGCCAGGCTTGGACCCACCATCCAGTGGTGAGTGGGGTCTGTGATGAGGACAGGCAGGTAGGGACAGATGGGTCTCTCTAGGAGACCCCATTTCAGCCCCCAAGGTGGCCTTTCCCGAAGGCGCCTCTCCCTCCCACGGCCCCAGTGGCTGCCTGCTCTCCACTTTTCCCCTGGCCACTGGCCATGGGTGGATTCAGGCTGGGGCTGTCCCAGATAGCCCAGGTGCTCACCTAGGTCTCAAAGACCCTTGTCACGCTGGTTCCTCCTCCAGAAGCCCCAACGGGCAGCCCAGGAGGCCACGAACTCGCAGTTGTGGTAAAGGAACATTCCTGAAAGGGTGAGTGCAATGCCCACATAGCTGAGGGTGCTGAGGCGACTGCCAAACAGAAGCCGGGACAAGACGAGGTTGCCCACGACAGTGAAGTTGCCCAGGACGTGGACTGTGAGGGCAGAGGTGAGGGCCAGCAGGGAGAAGCTGGCCAGGTTGTAGAGCACGGACAGGAGGCAGCTGAGCAGGATGCAGGCCCAGAGGCGGGAGTCAGTGGGAGCAGGTGACAGAGCCACACCAGCCTCCAGCACCAGGGCCGCACCTGCCAGCAGGCAGAAGCTGGGCAGCGAGGTGGCGTACAGCAGGGTCACCGCATCCAGCCTCTCCTCCTGCAGCAGGGCACCTGCAACCAGGACAGCAGACATCAGCACCTGGTGGGGAGAAAACCCCCACTTCACCAACCCAGCATGACCTCCAAGGCCGGTCCTCCAGGAAGCCAGCCCCAACCCCTTCCACAGAGTCAGGAGCTTCTGCTCATGATAGTCTAGAATCTGGAATCAGACTGCCGGGGTTGTGACCTGTATCCACTCCTTACTAGCTGTGACCTGGCACTTAACTTCTGGAGGTCTAGGTTTCCTCACCTGCAAAGTCAGGAGATAATAAAACCTAATACAAAGGGGTTTTTATAAAGATTAAAATAGATAACATACATAAAGCCCTTTATGAGGTAAGTGCTCAGTAAATGTAATAAGATAAAATAAAATATATAGGCCTGTTATCACCCACTTCAAACTGCTTTCCATATGGCTGAAACAATGACCTACAAGTGATATCCAAATGATCAATAAAAATGAAATGTGGCTCCAAAAAAAATAAAATAAAAATCTTCAGGGGCTCCCCAGGCCCTAGTTCAATATCCTAGGTTCTTCACCAGCTTTGAAGGCCCTGCACTAAGTGGTCCTGACCCACCTTTGTTGATCTCAGCCCTTAACACACCCACCACCCCAGAGTGTAGATCCCACCACCACAGCAGTGACAGGCCAGCAGAAGTTCCCAGCTCTGCCACTTACTAGCTACGTGGGCTTTACATTACCAAAAAAAAAAAATTTTTTTTTTAAATAATAAATTGTTTGAGCTAAATGTTGGGTCCACTCATTGCTTCATTCACTTATGACCACTGACATTGGAATGACACAGAACAAAAAAGTCATTGTTTGAGCTTGGCTGTCATGCGATAATCAGCATCTTTTGCTATTCAACTCATCAAGGTGAACCCAGGACTAAAGGGAAATCTTGCAGCTTTTCGAAGAAAGAGGGGATCGTACTGCCTTGCATGTGTGTGAATGTGTGCCTGTGTGTGTGTGTGTGTGTGCGTGCATACACATTACCACCCAGCCAGTTCACAAAGGAAGTAGTGCCCCTCATCAAAGCCAGACACAGTACCAGCGGATGGTAGTATTTGCACGAAGGCAATGATGTTTTGGGGACTTGTCCAAGTTTTAGTGAGGAGAGATGAGTAATTGATTCAGAGGTTCTCCGAGCCTTCATGCATTTTCTGACACACACTTTGCAAAGAGTCACCGAGGAGCTTACTCATAGGCTATGCTCAGAATAGGAAATCTCTATTTCATTCTGATGTTTTGGCTTTGTTCTCTAGGCAACAGGCCCTCCGGCTTGAGCATTTCTAGAAATGAACAGATAACTGAAATACCTCCTGCTCGTTCGCTCCAAATATAGCACCATTACGAGCTGCCTGTGGCCTGCATGCTAAAGGCCCAATCACCGGAAGGTGTTTAAAATTTCAGGTGAACTTCACCTCTGAAAGACAGGCAGGAAGGTCCTAACCACCTTATCCAGCCTCTGCGCCTGTTCTGCATCCCACCCAGCTCTCTGCTCACCTCCCTGCAGTCCAGGGAAAGAGCAGTAATCCTCTGTCAGAGGCTGTTCACCCCACCCAGGGCCCCCAAAATGTCAGCTTGTCATCCTGCTTCCTCAGCGACCCTTCCTCTATCCCTCCCCATCCCACAATCTTCCATTTCAACCTCTCCTTCTCCAAAGGCATTTTTGTTTCAGCACCCGAACACACCCAAGCTTCTGCCCCATGCAGACAAACATGTTCTCTAGACCCTGTTCTGCTGGCTCTTGGCTTATCCTGTCCTTACTCCACTAGCTGTGCGATATCAGGCAGGCCACCCTCTCTCAAAGCCTTGTCTCCTCATGCGTAGCACAGGGAGCGTGACAACGCTCCCCTTTCAGGGCCATGTGAGGTGCTGAGTGCAGGGCCTGATGCCCAGTGGTAACTGCTCGCCATGGCAGCTGTCTCAGTCCCCCACACTCTGCTCCTGCTGGCTGATACTCTGTGTCCTGGCATGGCCTGTTTCCTGCCCCCAAAATGCCCTTTCCTGCTTTTGCTATGTGAGGAGCTGGGCACGGCATGGGCACACACTGAGGGCTCAGCAAGTGTTTGCTACTATTATTATATTATTGTTATTGCCACCACTGCATGCCTCTTCCCTTAGGCAGCCTTCTCTGGTCTCCCCTGTAAGAAACTGCCTGGACCACACCCGTATCCACCTTGGCTCTGGGGTTTCTCTCCTGCCAATGTGATCTCTGTTTCTGAGGGCGTCTCCCCACCAGCCTGAGAGCTCAGAGGACAGGGATCAGGTCAGGCTGCTCCCCGATGCAGGCCAGTACAGTTGAGGACAAGCTCATACCCCACTTCCCGGCCTTTCTGTGAGTGGGAAGTTGGCATCACTCCTCTCCCCTTGTCCCCTGGGCCTGCCCATGGCTGCCTGGGTGCTTCTCTTTCTGGACTAGCATCCTCTGCTCCCATGGAATCTGCTCTCACGAAAGGAGCTGGTTTGGGGCATTTATACTCTAATCTGAATCTGGCCCTGGTACCTTTTCTGGAACCTCTGGAAGTAGAAACCTCCTCTTGTCCAAAACCCTTGTCACCCCCGGCTCCAATCTGTTCCTCCTCACCTCTGCTGGGCCTCCCTCTCTGTTGGTGGGGCCCCCTAGCCTCCTAAGCTTCCTCATTAGCACCCTGAGCCATGTAGCCTAACCAGCCTGCCAATATTGCTGGCAGAGCCATTAATAAATCTACCACTTAAGGAGTACCTGCTCTGTGCCAGGTCCCAGGCCAGGTACCGGGGACATGGAGATGTCCCAGTCTATGCCTCTCAGGGCCCCTATCTGATGGGACACAGGCAATCAAGTGGCTATAATACAGGGCATTCAGAGTCTTGATGGAGGAAGCAGAGGATGCTGTGGGACCTTGAAGCAAGCACCCAACCCACCTTAGGGACCAGGAAGTTGACACAGGAGATGGAAGGAGCTAGCAGAGGCCAAAAAGTGGCCTGATCCAGGCACCTGTCACTCCGTGCCTGTGTACCTGGGTTCTGGCCGGCCATAGCCCATTCTGCAGGCGGGGGCTCCGTCTGGGTGAGGAGCTCTGGACCTCAGCAAGTGTGGTGTGGGCCTCAAGGCTGGAGCCTTCCCAGCCTTGTGGCTCTGCCTGGGTTGGGAGGTGGGTGGTGGGTGTGTCCATGAGGTCAGGTTTCCCACTGCCAACTCATGCCCAGAACTCAGGCCTGAGCTCAGTCACCAACTCTCATATAACCTGAGGGCAAAAATAGAACTAGGCTCTGGCCCTGCCACAGGGCCTGGGAGGATGGGGATAGGGCCTCTGGATCCTGTCTCTGAAGATGCCAGGGCAGAGCGGAATCCTGACTTCAACCTTCCATGGCTGCAGGCTGCCCCAACCCCAGCCCAGTGCCCTTGAAGCACCCATTCCTTCTTACAGGCCTGGGTGACAGGATCTCAGAGATGGAGGGAGGGAGAGCCAGAGGCCCCTGGGACTCCATCAACTCCAACCCTTCTCCACCAAACAGATGGGGAGAATGAGGCCCAGAAAGACCTAGACCTGTCCAAGGTCACCCAGTATGAGCAGAGGTGTGATCTCCCTGCCTCGAGTGAGTGCCCTGGCCTCCCCTATATTTCCCTTAGATTTAGGCAGAGAGAGAGAGAGAGTGGGGTTGAGACTCAGACTCCCCTCAGAAGAACAAGTTGGAAGGTGCTTTAGCAGGGTCTAGGCCTGGAACCTCTACCCACCCTCTGTCTCCTTTCATCAGAGGTGAGGTAACCCTGGGCAAATCACAAACCTCTCCCAGTCTCAGTTTCATCATCTATAAAATGGGAGTGAAGGTGGTGGTTGCCATAATGACTCAAGGTCAACACCCAGCACAGGGCCTGTTACACTGCAGCTCCCAGTAAACATGAACCCTTCCCAGACTTAGCAAAACCCCTGGCCTTCCAAATCCTAGCTCAAGGCCTTGCCCTCTTTCTCTCTCCCTGGTCCCCACTGTCAGGTCCCCATCTGGGGCCACAACCTTATGCTACATCTTGGACAACATGAAAGTTGGCTGCCCAGGTTCAAATCTTACCTCTGCTGCTCACTGGCCACATGGCCCAGGCAACCCCATCTACCAGTCAAATGGGGGCAATATAGTTATTTCCTTGATCGGGGCCATATGGGGAGATTCAGTGGGATAAAGAGACAAAACATGGGAAACAGATGAATGGCAACTATTATTAAATATTAGGTGGGTCTCTAGAGTCTAAGTTTGGGGCCTGGAACTCACTGAGTTTTTCCCTCTTTCTGAGCCACAGTTTCTGCCTCTTCCTAAACCATGAGGCTCAGTTTCTTCATATGTAAAATGGGATAACATCCATAATTCTCACAGGGCGACCCAGGCCATACACCCACCCTAATCCCCACCTCCTCAAACAGTGACCCGGGCACTCACTCTGCTGAATGGACTTGAGGCCACGGAGACAGGTGGCAGCCAGCAGGAAGCCACAGCCAGCGGGTGGTGTCCGGAGCTCACCTGCCAGGCTGCAGGCAGCCCCCAGGCAGAGTGGGCCCATGGCAGCGAACTGCAGTGGGTGGTGGCGCCGGCCGAGCAGCAGCGCCGACAGGGCCAGTGTGATCAATGGTGTGGTAGTGGTGGCCAGCTGAGCCAGGTCCAGGGGTACAGAGCTCAGGCCGACGTTGCCGCAGGCCATCGAGGTGCCGAAGGTAAGACTGAGCAGCAGCACTTGGCGGTGGGTACCACTGGGCATGGGGCGTCGAGCTCCCCGATGGCATGCCAACGCTGCTGCTAGCATGTGTAGTGCTGAGAGCAGTAGGGGCCGCCCAAAGCCATGCACCGTGAAAATCCACTTGTTGAGGCTGGACATGCTGGCTCCGGTCAGCAGCCATACCAGTGCTGCCACGGCCACCCGGACCCGGCCAGGCCGCCCAGGGGCCTGGGGGGTATCGGGGGGCCACTCGGGGGACCCAGCCACCCGAGCACTACCAGCCACTGCCGCTGCCTCAGCAGAGGTCATCCTGTTGTCATGATGCTCCAGGGGACAGCGGCACATCCGTACCAGTGGGACTGGGGCAGGAGGCTAGCTCCCCAGGTGCCCAGCTCTGAGCCACCAGAGAGCCCCACTTTGGGCCAGGCCAGATCCTGGTTTCTCAGCTCCCGACCTTCCTTTCAGACAGGTGAGATAACTGCTTCTGCTCCAGGCCTGTGCCAGCCAGGTCCAGGAGCTATGCTGCGTTCCCTGCTCAGGCAGGGCAGAGCCCAGGTCGTGGCTGCTCGGATGCCAGGCTCTCTGGTGCCCACGCTGGCCTAGTAAGCTCCGGGCCCCTCTGCCCCGTGCCAGGTGAAGCCTCTACTCTTCTCCCTGCCTGGTGCCCACGCTATGCTTAGCTGAAATCCACCTTCCTTTTCCTCTTCGGTCCAGATTCCGGGATCTCCTGCGTGTTCAGGCCATGCCCGGGCCTAGCTGGGGCAATCCAGGCTCCTGCGCCCCGTGGTATCCTGTGGTGCCCAGCAGTGGCGGCTCCCTGCCTCCGACAGTGCCCAGGCCCGCGCCCTGGCCAGTGCCAGGCGGTGAG